ATGACCGCTCCCCGCTTAAAACGGGGGGCGCCCTTTGCGTGGACGCGCGCAGCCCCTAGATCTGGAGCGGCTCCAACAGCATAGGCTTGGTTTGCCTTCCCTCAGGTGGGATACCTGGAGGTCTCCGCCTACCTCAGTCAGTTGTCCAATCCCACCTGGGGAAGCGTTGCCAAGGAGACCAGGCCAGGTAGGGGAGGGATTACCTGCCCACACAATAGAGGGAGGATCTTACCTGGGAATCCTCACTTGGCTCCAGAGCTTCTCCCACCCTACCCACCCTCAGTTAATGTCTTATTTGCAGGTTAACTTTTCTTCACAGGTTTTGCAGGTTAACTTTTCTTCGCAGGTATGCGGGCGCTGCTACGTTAAGGTCGCTGTTAAAGGGCCGGAAAGGAATTTCCCTGCATTGGCAGGTTTCACCTTTCCTGTAGCAAAACGTCACAACTTTGGCGGTATCAGGCCTTGGGCGAAATCCTTTAGTCCATCTTCCTCTTTGCTGCAGCGATACCAGGGTTCCCCGTTAAAGGGGTTTCTGAAGGGAGGCTTTGACCGTACGCCGAAAGGTCGTCATTGCTCTCCCCTGCGGCGGCGGCGTAACGGGGGCGGCTATCTCTGCTTGAACATATGTTCTCCAGAGCCGGCCCATCCCCCCCCCCACTGGATAACCCTGATGCTCCCTAGGTTCCCGGCTGGGGACTGGGGAGGGAGAACGCCCAGTGCCTGAGCCAAGGTCTACCCACATTTGAAATTTAATAAAGTTGTGGCCAATTTAATCCCATAGCATGTTGTCATAAGTCGTTATTCCACATGACAGGGGGACCGCGCGGGATCTGGGGACTCTGCCTGTCCACGCAATGAGTGATTTCTGGGTCAATTGCTTGGCAGCCTGGACACAGTGGTTCATGCACTGGTAACTTCAAGACTTGATTATGCCAGCATGCAGTGGGACAGTGGGACTGTCTTTGTATCAGGTCCAGAAGCTGCAGCTATTGCAGAACACAACAGCCAGAGTGCTCATAGCAGCAGACTACTGCCTACGTGTCACTCTGTTGCTGAGACAGTGGCACTGGTTGCCAATTTGCTGCCACGTCACATTCAAGGTGCTTATGTTTATTTCCACTGATCCCTGAGCAATGTGAGCCAAAAGTGCCTTGAGGAATGCACAAACCCTTATGCTACACCTCAAGCAGTGAGATCCTTTAACTGGGGCAATTCTTGTAGCTCCCTACACACCTGAGGTTTAGTCAGCTTTCAATTCACAGGAAGCCTTTAGTGCAACAGGAGAGAGAAAAGTTTTTATTCCTTTCTCACAGTACTAGAATTTGTGGGCAGCCAAGGACAGTGAATGTTGGAAGCTTTGAGAAAGATGGAAGAAAGTACAGTGGTACCTCTGGTTACGAATGGGATCTGTTCCGGAGGCCTGGCCGTATCCCGAAATCTTCGTAGCCTGAGGCACCTGTTCTCCTCATGTGTGCAGCGCCGTGGAGCACTTCTGTGCATTCGTGAGGTGCGTAGAGCGCTTCTGCGTGAGCTCGAGTGGCAAACCCACTTCCTGGTTTGCTACGTCCTCAACCCAAATGTTACGTTACCCAAAGGCCATGTAACCCGAGGGTCCACTGTACTGTTTGAAATAGCATATGGTTAAACTCTGGAATTAGCTCTCAGGAAGTAAAGATGGGCAGCAACGTGGATGTGTTTGATTGAGGATTAGAAGAAACTGATGGAGGATAAGGCTATCAATGGCTACTAATCAATTTGGTCATGTTCTTCCTCAAGCGTTGGAGACAGTATTCCTGTGAATGTCAGTTGGTGGGAATCACAAGCGGGGGGACAGGATGGGACCAACTTGTGTTGCTGTCCAGTCCTGCTTTGAGGCTTTGCACAGGCATCTTGCTGGCCATTGGGACAACAGCTGGACTGGTTCAGCAGGCTGATGCAAGCTGTGCCAGTTGAAGCTTGTGAGAAATCTAACATTAGCCCAAATTTTGATTGCCTCAAAGTGGTGCTCACCCAGTGTACCTGCTGAAGACGAGGGGATTCACAATGTACCTGCTGAAGAAACATGGTTTCACAATTTCTTTCTAAAATCACCAAGCTGTTCATTTGGCTGAGTAAGGGAAGCCAAAGGAGAATGAAAATCGGGAAACTCTGGAGGCCTTGAGTAATCTATACCAGGAGTGGGGAACCGCTGACCTGGGGGCCAAATGCAGCCACTGCGTGCCCCTCCACAGGGCCTATGGGGGGGGGAGGTAGTACATCGTTCTTCTGTTTGGGATCACAAGGGGGACATCAGAAAATGTTTGCCTATATTGTGTGAAGACTAGCATTTATATTTTTGTAAGACTACATAGAATGCCATGAGGCCTCTTCCTCCGTCTGCTTCCTCATCTGCTAACATACCCCTGCCTACTTCTCCCCATGGATCTAGAGACGTGGCGCTGAAGTCCTGGTAAAAGATAGCGTGAGTGCTCAGAGTGAGAGGTGAATGAGAAGGTGGACTTTCCTTGCCTCTCCTGCGGGTGATGTGCTCCGCCTTCTGAGAGGACTGCCACCCGCCTGTGAAGTGTGGGATATTTACCATGCAACCAAACCAACAATGCATGTTTGCTAGATAGGCAAATGACAGGAGCTGAAGCCCTCCGAGTTTCTTCCTGTAAGTTTCCAAGAATGAACTCTCACTGTTATGTACTGAGTTGAGTATGATCCAAAATAAAGCAGTGTGATTGGTCCTAGAACAATAGGATCCAGAATGCAGCAGTCTGTTTGGTCCGCAGGAGCCACCCAATCCAGCTCCAGGTGGAAGTGAATCCGCAACCTGATTGGCCTACAGGAGAATCCCAGAATTAGCCAATCACGTGGGGCCCATTGTGTAAATAATGTATATAAAGCAGACAGTTGGGGGGAACTTCCAGTCCTCGCTACTATGAGCTCAGGATGAGGTAGTGGTGGGAGAAGGCAGGAACCCCCGGACCTTCGTGGCCCAGGACCCAGTGTATGCAAAGAATTTGCGGGCAGGCCCGGCATGGGTACCCGCCACAGTCACCAGGGTCATTGGCCCCGTGTCGTACGAGGTGCTAACGGAGGGGGGGCAATGTTGGCACTGCCACTGCAACCAGCTACAGCGATGATTCCCAGGAGAAACGATTCCCAGGAGGAGGACAGGTCAGAGGGGTCCCAAGGGAACAGTGGGACAGTGAGGCCCGTAGAGCAGGAGGGGCTGCAGGGGAGGCAGAATCAGTAAATACAGAGAGGACCCGCGAGGTCGAAAGGACACCGGAAACAGAGCCATGACTGAGCGAGCCGGTTGCGCCAGACCAAACGGCCCCATCACAGCCAGTATCCTCGGAACACGAGCCAGAACCCAAACCCCTGACCAGGGAACACGCTAGGCCACAACGCATACATAGGTGGCTAGCATACGTTGAGGACTATGAATGCAACCTCCCGGGCAGGACTGGAACTTAGAGGGGAGGGGTGTTATGTACTGAGTTGAATAGGATCCAAAATAAAGCAGTCTGATTGGTCCTAGAACAATAGGATTCAGAATGCAGCAGTCTGATTGGTCCACAGGAGCCACCCAATCCAGCTCCTCTGGACAAAGCTGCTGTATCTGTTACTCTTCAAGAAGTATTCTGAATGAGTATATGTTATCTTTACCTTTTGCAAGCAAGAATCTGTGTGATTATTGTTTTAAGGGGGGGGGGAGGAAAGACTTTTTAAGCAGCCAGGGGATACACTCTGCTGAACTTACAAACATGAGGAAGGGAGGATAATATCTAATAAATACAACTTTTCCGAGCATCAATACACATCTCTACTTGAAGGGCAGCAGGTGATGGCATGACGTGATGTCATACCATCATGTTGTGCTTGTGTGTGGGGGGCACCCACATTCTGGGGCTCAGGTTGGTGCCTCTGGTCACAGGTGTCTCCTCCTCCTCCTGCAACAGGCTACTCCCCTTCTCCTCCCCCCCAAAAAAAACCCCAGGAGAGGCATGAAAAGGGTAGAGGTGAGATCAGCTGCACACAGTCTCAGTCAAGGAAAAAGCCCTGGAGAGGAGACTTAGACAGATGGGAGGTGTTTGGGGATCTTTCGTCTTGGTAATTGATTTCATGGAGTAAGACCCACAGGAAATGATGTTGTGTTCATTAGGCCTGACACTCTGTGAAAATTGTGTTTTTACTAAGAAAGAGTTAACTCAAACTTTTGTGGAACCAGAAGAAACCCGAGTCCCCTTAAAAAATGGAGGCAAAGCTTGCTGGCTCTCTTTAACAGTGAGACCGAATTGTCTGCCTCAATATTCAGTCTGAGCTGTTACATGACTGAAATGTGTCCCAGTATAGGACTGTCATTGATTAATCTCCCCCAGGAATTTCAAAACGACACTTTAAGAAGTATCTGAATTTGTAGAAGAGGGACAGGCCACAACAAACTTTACAGTAAATACCTTAGAATATTTACATGGTTTTGCAGAAGAAAATATGCTGCACTCATTGACTGAGTCTTAAAGAATTCCTGAAGTATTAGCTTTGGTGGGGGTTGCGCAGCACATCTGCTGTGGCGCTCCCCATTTTACCTCTAGTGGCGAAACGGGATAGACCACTCTTGACAGCAAGGCAGCCCAAAGTCTGCCATTCTTCTCTGGTAGGGACTTTATCTTCCTTCCATTTCTTTTTTCTCCCCATTTTACCTTAAGTGGAGAAATGGGATGCACCACCCAAAGTCGGCTAATATTAATTGATTAAAATTGGACCTGAAAGTCTGGCCAGGGATTTCACCCCTGCCCGCTGCCAAAGCTATCTCCCACCTCCAAGCACTATTATTTTGCCCAAGAAATGTTGCTTTTGGTAAAATGATACAACACACATGATTAACCATATATATTTATTTTGGACATGATTCAATGACCTCATTTGCACCTGAAAGTCAAGTACAGTCTTTCTTTAAGGAGGAGCTTCTAGACTTCTGGAAAGAAAGCCTGGGTGTCCTCAGGCTGAGACTCCCCTGCTTCAACCACTAGGCCTCCAATTTCCATAAATGGTGGGTTCTTCTGGGCGGTGGTGGTTTGCCTTCTCTCAGCTACAGCTCATTGGAATCCTCGTCCATTGCTTCAGTGCACTCAAATTGAGTGATCTCAACTCCTAATGATTCAAGATCAGTCTCCAGCAACCCCTCATAGTAGTCACACAAACTAGCTGTTCCACAGCCTCGGATAGCGCCCCTCAGACTGCTTTCCCCTGTTGGGAAAAACACAAACATATATTTTTTGAATCCAAAACCCTCTCCCTCAAACAGAAGGGTGGGCAACTTTTCTCAGACCAAGAGCCTTTTTCCAGTCTGGGTGACCTTCTGGGAGGTCCACATGCCAATGGAAACAGAAGTAAAATTCACCTTTACACGGCAGGCCATTTTATACATACATTCAAACCCCCCTCTCTGTCCTCCCTCCAGGTTAACAAGAGTTCAGGGGCAACAATCCAGCCAGGCCAAAGTATACAGGTAGGGTATGAAGTGGGGCTTGTGAGTGGTGTGGCCTAGGGAAAGGAGGTGTGGCTAAGTAGGATCCGAAGGGCCAGAGAGAAAGAGTCCAAGAGGAATGCCTTTGGCCCCTGGGCCTGTGGGTTTCCATCCTGCCCCCCCCTCCAATTTAAAGTGCAATTTTTAAGATGTATTTTTATTTAACAAAATCTGTATATCGCTTGTTTGTAGTAAAAACTGTTAGGGGTTTACAAGAAATATTTATATTAGCAGTTAAAACCATTAAAACATTTAAAACTCATTGGAATGAACAGCAAAAGGGAATAGAGAATGTGCCTATCTGAATGGGCTTTTAAGGTTTTGCTGGGGGGGAAATGGAATAAAGAGGCATAGGGTTCCAGACAAGAACCGCAGAAATCACTAGCCCCTTCCCTGTATTCTCCTCCTCCTCCCACCTCCCTGCGCACACATCCCTCCTCCTTGGGCTCCTGCCCATCCCCTTATTCTGTGAGGGCAACGTAGGTCTCCTAATAACTTTCAGCACCCTTAATAAACAAAGTATCCTGGCATCTTTTAGAGGAAGCCATGACGGCTCAAAGTGGCGTGATACTGCTTTAACTGCATAGTACAGATGGGGCTCTAGCTGCACTCCATCATACAAGACTCACCGAACTTCATGCGACCCCCAACGTAGAAGCATTGATCCTCCTCATTTCTGCAGCTGACGGTCTTCAAGCCCTCGCACTCGTCTGACAAGATGTTGATGCAACTCGGGCACTTCAGCCCATTGGGCTCCCTCGTCTCACTCTCAGGCACTGGAAAACAATCACCACACCAACATCGCAGTTAGTCAATGTATTTCTTTTGCAGATGCAAACCACAACTTGTTGTATGTGAGGGGTAGGAATTGTACTCCTTCCAAGATGGATGCCTATTACCTTCCAGCACTTCAGCCATGCTCCATTCATCCAGGGATACATTAAGGCATGGTGCAAGAGATTTCTGACTGGGGCCACATTCACAGCATACATTTCAAGCACAGGGATACCACTTTATTTTATTTTTTTAAATAATATTTATTATTTTTCCAAAAACTTAAACACTAAAAAGGCAATACAATACAACACATCAAATTGACAAAACAAAACAAAAACAATAAAATAAATCAAACAATTTCATTATCCCATCTTTCATTCACTTGTTTCCACGACCTCCTCACACCTCCCTTTTTGTATTCCACTTCTGTTAATTATTTCAGCAATTCCTTTCCATCTTCCTCTGTTTTCTATCCTATAATTATCTTAGTTCATTCTAACCTTATTTTTCCTTTAATGCTCTATTAACCTATCTGTACTTAATTCCTTATAACATTTCTACTAAAGCCATATAACTTCATTCCAACATTTTTCTAACATTCATTAATTTTACAGTATTTCTGTAAATAGTCTTTAAATTTTTTCCAATCTTCTTCCACCGACTCTTCTCCCCAGGGATACCACTTTAAGCAATTGGGCTTAGCACTGAGCAGCATTGGGTGACATTCTGAGAGACAAAATGGCAGCCACAGATGCACACAAATGATGATAAAATTCTACAAAATGGCCCTCTTCCTTAGAGTGGGAAGGAGAAAGAAAGCTCTTAGTAGTTTTATACTTTAAAAACACTTCTGGGAAAACATGTGCTTAGTTTTGGTAAAATCATGATTTCACCTAAGAAAAAATGCCAGCTAATAATGCACTTATTGGTTCCTTCAGATGGAGGATGAATGACTCTTTGTTTAGGAATGATGAATTTATCAAAAAGGCCCAAAAAACTTTGAAAGACTATTTTGAGATAAATATGAACACTACAGTGGAAAAAAGAGTAATCTGGGACGCAAGTAAAGCCATAATGAGAGGTTTTTTGATACAACAGAATGCAATTAAGAAGAGAAGGCAAAATGAGAAAAAAGATAAAATTTTGGAAAAAATAAAGGAAGGAGAGAAGAAACAGAGGGTGAAACCAAAGTCCCAGGAGATTTTAAAAGAAATAAAGCTTTACCAAGTACAATATATGAAAATGATGAACCAGGAAATAGAATGGAAGATTAAACAGATGAGACAAAAGACATTTGAATTGGCAAATAAGTGTGGGAAACTGCTGGCTTGGCAATTGAAAAAAAGACAAAAAATAAATACTATTACGAATCTGGAAGTGGAAGGAAAGAATATACAGAATCCAGCTGAAATTAGAAGGTGCTTCCAGAGGTATTTCAAACAATTATACACACAAGAAAAGCAGAATGAAATGGACATCGATAAATTCCTGGAAATAAATGGACTACAAAAAATTTCTCAAGAAAATAAATTAATGCTTGATTATAAAATAACGGATCAGGAAGTAGAAGGGGCCATTCAGAATATGCAATTAGGTAAATCTCCAGGACCGGGTGGACTGACTTCTAGATACTACAGAACCTTGAAAGAATGGTTAATACAACCATTAAAGGAAGTCTGTAATGAAATATTGGAAGGGAAAAGGGCACCTGAGTCGTGGAAAGAAGCATATATTACACTTATACCAAAATCAGAGTCTGAAAAGACGCAACTTAAAAACTACCGTCCCATATCACTGCTTAATGTGGATTATAAAATTTTTGCAGATATTTTGGCTAAAAGATTAAAAAAGGTGTTAGCAGAAGAAATTCATAGAGACCAAGCGGGCTTTCTCCCGGGCAGGCATTTGTCTGATAATACGAGGAATATAATTAATATTCTAGAAAAGCTACAAGTGAAGATTAATACTAAAGCAGTTCTGATTTTTGTGGACGCGGAGAAAGCCTTTGACAATATTTATTGGAGTTTTATGAAGAAGAATTTATCGGGGATGGGGGTTGGTAAAAGTTTTGGAAATGGTATAGGTGCAATTTATTCAGAACAAAAGGCTAAATTAATTGTGAATAACGTAGTGACGGAAGAATTCAAGATTGAGAAAGGAACACGACAGGGCTGCCCAATCTCTCCATTGCTTTTTATTTCAGTCCTGGAGGTTCTGTTAAATATGATTAGAAGGGACCAATTGGTTAAAGGTATACAAATGGGAGCTAAACAGTACAAACTGAAAGCATTTGCAGATGACTTAGTATTGACTTTACAGGAGCCAGAATCAAGTACGAAAAGAGTATTAGAACTGATTCAAGAATTTGGCCAGGTAGCAGGTTTTAAGCTGAATAAGATGAAAACTAAAGTTCTGGAGAAAAATCTGAATGTGATTGAGAGAGAGAAGTTTCAGAGGGAGACAGGTCTGACACTGGTTAAGAAAGTGAAATATTTAGGGGTCAATATGTCTGCTAAGAATGTGAATTTATTTAAGGATAACTATGAAAAATGCTGGACTGAAGTGAAAAAAGACTTAGAAATATGGTCAAATTTGAAGCTATCGTTGCTAGGCCAAATTGCTGTGATAAAAATGAATGTATTGCCAAGAATGTTATTTCTGTTTCAGTCACTGCAAATTTTGGACAAAATGGACTGTTTCAAGAAGTGGCAGAGAGATATTTCCAGATTTGTCTGGCAGGGCAAGAAGCCTCGTATAAAATTTAAGATTTTAACTGATGCTAAAGAAAGAGGTGGATTTGCCCTGCCAGACTTAAAACTTTACTATGAATCAGCTGCTTTTTGCTGGCTGAGAGAATGGATGCTTCTTGAAAATACGGATGTTTTGGATTTGGAAGGTTTCAATAATGTATTTGGTTGGCATGCATATTTGTGGTATGATAAGGTCAAAGCACACAAAGCGTTTAAAAACCATATTGTAAGAAAAGCACTGTTTAATGTCTGGATAAGATACAAGGATTTGTTAGAAAATAAAACCCCAAGATGGCTGTCACCTATGGAGGCAAAGGCCCAGAAAAAACTCAATATGGAGGCCAAATGGCCGAAGTATTGGGAAATTTTGGAACAAGAGGGTGACAGATTAAAATTACAGAGCTTTGAAAAATTAAAAAACAGAGTGCGAGATTGGCTCCATTATTATCAAATAATGGAGGCATACAATCAGGATAAAAAAATAGGTTTTCAAGTGGAAAAATCAAAGCTGGAAACAGAATTGTTAGATCCTAAAGTTAAGAATTTGTCAAGAATGTATAACTTGCTGTTGAAATGGAATACTCACGATGAAATGGTGAAATCTGCTATGATTAAATGGGCACAGGATGTTGGACATAATATTATGATGGCTGACTGGGAACAGTTATGGACCACTGGCATGACGTTTACGGCATGCAATGCCTTAAAAGAGAATTTAATGAAAATGATTTACAGGTGGTACATGACACCAGTCAAGCTTGCAAAAATCTATCATTTGCCCGACAATAAATGCTGGAAATGTAAAGAAACTGAAGGTACATTCTTTCATCTTTGGTGGACATGCCCAAAGATTAAGGCCTTCTGGGAAATGATATATAATGAACTGAAAAAGGTATTTAAACATACCTTCTTGAAGAAACCAGAGGCCTTTCCCTTGGGCATGGTGGGCCAATTGATGCCAAAGAAGGACAGAGTTTTTTTCATGTATGCCACAACAGCAGCAAGAATACTCATTGCTAAGCACTGGAAGACACAAGACCTACCTACCAGGGAAGAATGGCAGATGAAGCTGATGGACTACATGGAATTGGCGGAAATGACTGGCAGAATCCGAGACCAGGGAGAAGAGTCGGTGGAAGAAGATTGGAAAAAATTTAAAGTATATTTACAGAAATACTCTAAAATTAATGAATGTTAGAAGGATGCTGGAAAGAAGCTATATGACTTTAGTAGAAATACTATAAAGAATTAAGTATGAATAAATTGACATTGGGTAAAGATGTAAATTTAAGTCTAAATTGCGTTAAGATAAATTATGGAACTAAATTTGAGAAAAAGGGAAAGGACTTGCTGGAATAATTAATTGAACTAGAATACAAAAAAGGAGGTGTGAGGAAGTCGAGGAAATAAGCAAATGAAAGATAAAGATATGAAAATATGGGGTCCTTTTTATGTTTGTTTGTTCTCTTTTGGGTTTTTTAAATGCTTTTGTTTTTTCTTTTTTTTCTTTTTTGTATTGTTGATGTTTTGTATTACTGTATTCATTTTTGTTTTTGAGGCTTTGTAATTGTTTATTGCTTGTATTTTTCTTTTGTTTCTCTCTTCTCTTCTTTGTAATGTCTAAACTTTAATAAATATCTTATAAAAAAAAATAGATAGTGTTCCTCTATAGCTTAGTAATTAGGTGGTACTGGAGCCCATTGCATTGACTATATCTTCAGCTTTAACCTGAAGATATTAATTCCTTGAATGCAAACCTAAAAGAAATCAGTTCCCTCCCATACAAGAAGGACAGGGGCCTGTCCCACTCAAAATATCTCTACAAATGAAAATGCATCAAAGAAGATGGGTCACTCTAGGTTTGGGGGCTAGAACTCCGGGAAACCAATGAACCAGTGAAGTGTAGTGGTTAGAGGGTTGGACCAGAATCTAGGAGACCAGGGTTCAAATTCCACTGTAGCCATGACACTTGCTTAGTGGCCTGGGGCCAGGAACCATTTCTCAGTTTAACCTATTTAACTGGATATTTTGAGGCTAAAATGGTGAGTGGGAGCTAAAGCGTTTTGGAGAAAAGCATAGGATGCAAATACCAGAAGCTGCTGTAGGAGAGCAACTGTGAGTAAAATTACGGGAGGGGTGTTTCTAGGACTAAGGTAAAACTGTGATGCTCCCTTGTAATTTTTGCTAATAGATGCTGTATGCTGTTCAAGTAATCTTCTTATTGGGATTTTGAGTTTTATTCTATTAGTTCCCCCCACCCCCATACTATGGCTCCAATGCTTCCCTTCTGGTTCCCTCTGTCAGTGGCTCCTCCCTGTCCCACCAATCTGAATCAAGTTTGAAATCTTCTTTCCTATTGTCGCCCTCAGGCACCTCCTGGAGCGACTGGCTGCCACCACTCCTCCTTGTCTAGCCAGTCCCTGACATCAGGATACTGCCAAAAACTTGTTTGTCTTTCTTTGAGCTCTCTCATTGCTTGAGTTTTGTGAGATCATCTTTCCTGATGATGATACTTACTTTCAGGAGGTCCACTGTTGCACATATCTGTCTTGCAGCAGGAGATCTTGCTCTGGATGTACATTGATGAGGTTATGGAGGAACTGGCATAGTCTGCATCGCACAACTCTGTATTGATGCAGGACTTGATAACCATTTTTGACCCCAAAAGTGCTTTAAAAGAAAAAATTGGAAAAGGAAATAACTAGACCTGGAGATAGGGCTGGTCCACCCATGAGGCTCCTGCCCACCTAGCAGTTTGAAAGCACATCAAAGTGCAATTATATAAATAGGTACCACTCCGGTGGGAAGGTGTTTCCGTGCGCTGCTCTGGTACGCCAGAAGCGGCTTAGTCATGCTGGCACATGACCCGGAAGCTGTACGCCGGGTCCCTCGGCCAATAAAGCGAGTTGAGCGCCGCAACCCCAGAGTCAGTCACGACTGGACCTAATGGTCAGGGGTCCCTTTACCTTTATGTGGCAGGATCCACAGGGGCATGCGATCTGACCACCAATAAAAGCATTGCCTGATGCTGCTGCCTTTGAAGCTGTGGTGTGATCCTTGGAGGCAAGATCTGCCACCTCCTTGTCAGTTCCTCTCCCCCATTTGAGCCACCCCATGTCCCTGTTGTTCATTGCAGGGACCTTGGAGCTTCTTCCTTTTTCTTTTTTAATATGTTTATTAAAATTTCTTTTTTCCTTTATAACAACCAAATAAAATTTCCTCATCACATATATCTATGCTCAAATTGAGCATTGACTTCCTCCCGTCCCCCTCCCTGACTTCCACATGCAATCACTTTTATCTTCTCATGTCTAAATCACCCTGTTTACTTTATCTCCATACTTAAAAGACTTACTTCTAATATTTATATCCAGGTATCAAATCATAACCTAACAAAATATTTTAAATCAATCCTGTAAATGTTTTAAAAAGTTTGTAATGTTCATTCATATATTGTACAAATTTACTCCAGTCCTTTTCAAACGCTTTGTCTCGCTGGTTTCGGATTTCTCCCGTCAGTCTCCCCAGCTCAGCGTATTCAATCATCTTTGTCTGTCATTCTTCCAACGTTGGAAGTTCCTGCTGCTTCCATTTCTGGGCTAAAAGTATCTTTTCTGCCGCGGAAGCATACATAAATATATTTATGTCTTTCGGGGAATTTTTTCACCTATTATCCCTAATAAAAAAGCCTTTAGTTTTTTTACTAAAATTATTTTTGAAAATCTTTTTCAGTTCATTATATATCACATTCCACTTAGGACGCATCCACCACATATGAAAGAAGTTCCCTTCCCTCTCCTTACATTTTCAACATACCTTATCTTGAACTCTATACATTTAAGCAAATACCACCTTGGAGCTCCTTTCTGAGGCTCCAACCGCCTCGCTGGTGCCCGTGCAGGCACACTGCCTCTTTCCTTGTGGGGTGGTCATTTGCAAAGCTCAGGCTGCAAAGCCACCCTATCTATCCCTTGCAGGGCTGCCTGCACTGCTTGGCTGCCTTCGACTGGCAGAGTGGGTTCCGTCTTTCCTCCTGTGCTGAAAAAGGCAGCCAGGTGGCAGCCAAGGCTGTCTCTGCCTGGAGCCTGCACTCCACCCAGGCTCTTGCAGCTGGGGAAGGAGAGCACTATAACTGAGTCCCCGCCCCACTACTGGCTCATGTGTGCCAGTGGTCATTTGTGGTTTTTGCAAAATTGCTTGGCTGAGGCGAGGGCAGCGGTGTGCTCTTAACCCAAGCAGTTTAAGGAGGGAGGGAGGAATAACCTTTATAAGCCTCGTCATGCAGCTTCTTTCTCCCACTTCCGGTATGAGAGACAGACCATGATGGTGATTTCACTCAGCGATATATCTTTCATGAAACTGCCACCCCTCCTGAGTCCCTCTGCCTCCAGCTCCAGGCTGCAGCTTTTTTAGTTTTTCCTCAGCGTGCTGCGTGCTGGAGGCAGAGGGACTCAGGATAGGTGGGGTTTCCCCCACCGATTTACTGCTGAGTGAATCTGTCATCACGGTCTGCCCCTCATACCGGTACTGGGGTGATATATCAATAAATCGCCCAGGCCTAATCTTCAGTCACCCTTTCTTCCAGGGGTGGGGAGCATTTTATGGTTTGCCTCAGGTATCCAGTTGTGTTGAGCAGGCCCTGCTTGAAGCAGAAAGAGATTTCTCCAGTTTTATCTATTTGTTGAATGTGAGTCAGGAATGGAGAACCTTTGGCTGTCCAGAGGTTTCTACCACCCTTCTGCTTCTTGAATGGGATCAGTTCAGGAGGTTTCATGGGAAGTTCATTTCTCCACATTTTCCTATCAGTTTCCAACTCCCCCCCCCCATCAACATTTCGTGTGAATGTTATTTTCACTCTTAGGCCCTATCTGCCGGGTCATACTGATTTAAGCAGTCATGGTTTCCCCCATGGGGGTGGGGGGATGTTTGTTGACCATATTGGCTGTGAATCCTGGCGGATTAGCTCTCTGCCTTGCAGGTCATTTTTCACTTGGCCTGGGAGATGGGAAACTGACAGACTGACTCCAACTACAAAAGCTGAGGCTGCTGAACGGAAACTTGGGTTGGGGTATTGTTTGGCTTGTTTTGTTGCTGTTACTGATATCCATCATTTCTATCTTTATTTTTAGCTCTTCTTATGAATTAGGTGACTGTTGCTGGATTTTGTTGTAGTTTCTTATATGCACACTTTACCCTAGTATGTGCATTTGTCTATTGGTTACATGGCTGGACAAGTGAATTGCAAAAATGGGAGAAGGGCAGATTCTGAAGGATGGCTTTGTTTTGTTCTGCCAATTGAGTAAACACACCTTTAAATATGAACTGCCTTGAATTTCTTCCCTGCTCCTACAGGCAATGCAGAACCTAGAACAGTACTTTATGAAAAGTCATGTTCCGTGGCTTGGGGCGAAGATATGCCCTTAGAAAGTGAGTTAGGGGGTTTACGTTTTGGTGCTCAAAGAGGTTGAAAATTCTTCTCACTTACACAGTATGCCTACTCCAAGTGCAGACATGCAGGACTGATCACTGGACTCGTCACACTCCTCAGTGGTGGCGTTTTTGCAATCTTTTCCTTCATTCCAACAAGACTCACATGTCAGAGATGCCACTGCAGACAGGGGAAAATGGGTTTAGAAAAGTTTAGTAACTGTGTAGAGGGAATAGGTCTGAATCAGGGTACATGAACCCAACACTTTCTGCCACAAACGCCATCTTGCGAGAGGCAGCAAGGGCCACCGACTTGGATAGCTTCAAAAGCAGACTAGATAAATACATGGTTACCATCCTCAATTGATTTTTTTTTTTCTGGGACATTGGAGGCACTATTTGTCTGAATACTAGTTACTGGAAACCGCAGAAAGGGAGCTGTTGCACTCAGATAGATCCTGCTTTCGGGCTTCACCCATGGCAAGAACAAGAGGCTAGACTAGATGGACCATTGTTCAGCTACATAATGCTTTCTATATATATTCCTTCTGTAGTTCTTAAACTCTGTGAATAGGGGTGGGCCTTGCATAGACCAGAGAATGATTGTAGAAAATGACTCCTGCAGTCTGAGGGAGAGGACCAGTAGAGAAGGTGTGGGGAAACCTTTAACCCTCCCAAAGTTGTTGTACTACAACTCCCATCAGCACCAGCAAACATGACAGACTCTGGTAAGCACATCTGGTACCCCTGGGACCTGACTCCACTCAGAGATTGGGGTGGTGTGTAACACCAGCAAACTAAAAGATTGCATGGGGTGGGGGCAGGATAATTCCGCTCCGAAATAAAAGATTAACAACTTTGGTTGGCCCTTTGGTCAGCCCCCATGGTTTTTCTCTTCATCAAATCTGGCCCTCTTTGAAAAATTTTGGACACCACTTCTTTAAATTTCAGCTAGGATTCTGGTTTATTGAAGAGTGAACTACTGCCTCTTTTGCTCCCCCAGTGTACTTGGGGATGCCACACCTCTGTATGAATTTGGTAAAATTTAATATTGAGAACAAAGTTTCTGGAGGAAGGGGTAGAGTTTGAGTGGACGATGAGGTAAGCAAACAGGAAAAAAGTTCAAGAAACATACTCTTTGTTGTAGATCAGACCTAGGATTCTGGTTTATCCAAGAGTGGGCAACTGCCCCCATTGCTCCCCCAATGGACTCCGGGATACTGCACCTCTCAGTATGCATTTGGTTAAATAAAAACAAATATTGGGAACAAACTATCCTGATTGAAGATCCCTTGTAGCTTGACCATATGCTTTATTCCTCTCCCTTTCAAAGGAAGCACACGTCCTTGTTCCTTTCTTCTCCTGCTGTAATGGCTGACCCACCCCCCCTTACCGTAATTCCTTCCTGGAAACATGATGAACAGCCCAGCAGCTGTGGTTCTGCTCACCTGGATTCAGAAGGGTCAAGAGAAGGCAGGAGATCAGGAGTGTCTTCATCATTCCTGAGAGCTGAAGAGCCAAGAAGGAGTTCGAGAACAGCACGGAACTGAGTTTGAGAACAAGCAAGGAACTGAGGCTTAGTTGGAGGAATTTGTAGAGGATTGCAAGAAGCACTTTGCCAGCACCCAGGAACAATGGATTCAGGGCAGTGCAACAAATTGCTAGAATTCTAATTGTGCTATACCATAATATAAAGCACAGTGTTGAAAAGCAATTAAATCTCTTCCCCCTTCCAATAACTCCAAGGACACGTCCCTCCTAATCTGTGCCAGCCTCAATTTCTCAATTCTGCATGTGGGGAAATGAGTCCCATCAGGTTACAGCACTGAAATTGGATTAGGTTTCTGGAAGCCAAGGCAGTTTCACTGACAGCATGAACTTTTTTGAAAGGGGGACAAATGTCTGTCAACAGTTTCCTTTTTGGTACAGTAATAAAATGCACAGTGACTCGGATCCCCTCACTCCCATTAAATTCAGTTGCATTTGGGGTAAATCAATCTCTTCCCCCTTCCAAGAGCTCCAAGGACATGTCCCTCCTTTAACCTGTGGCACCCTCAATTTCACCACCCAGGAAGTGAAGCCCCATCAGGTTACACCATAATCCATACCTAAGCAGTGAAATTGGATTAGATTTCCAGAAGTCCAGGCAATTTTGCCAGATTTCTCTGATAGTCAGAATCACGGGTTTATTTATTTTTGGTAAGTGTCTTTCCAGTTTCCTTTGTTGTACAGTAATAAAATGCACAGTGACTCACAATCTAGATTTCCTCTGTCCTATTAAATGCACTTGTTTTTGGGCTAAAGAATTGGTCCACTTGCTCTTTAAAATAAGTTGGTTACATTTAAGAGCAGGTGGGGGGGATTGCAGGTCTGTGTCCAGAGGAGCTAGCGTATTTAAGGGACTATCTTTTACTGGGGCTGGGTATACACAAGCTCAGCTCCACGTCATTTGCCTTATATATGCAGCTGTATTTAGATATGCAGCAACAGTGGCAAGCGGTCTTTATGCTAAGAAGTGGAAAGTTGTGAGAATACCCTGAAAGGAAGAATGGATGGTGAAAGCCTTAGAATTGTGTTTTAATATTCTGCTGGAAGCCACCCAGAGTGGCTGGGGAAACCCAGCCAAATGGGTGGGGTATAAATAATAAATGAATATTAAATTATTATTATTATTATTATTATTATTATTATTATTATTATATGCATAGATGGCAAAGGTAAAGGAGGAGAGGCTGGTACAACTGAGGCCCTTCCCCACGTAATGCATTGGATCTGAGGGGTAGGCAGAGGGCAAAGCCTCCTTGGATGGCATGGAGGGGGAAGTGAAAGGAGTCTAGATTCCCACCTCCCCATACACACACACACACACACACACACACACGCACAGAGTGGTACCTCTGGTTACGTACTTAATTTGTTCCGGAGGTCCGTTCTTAACTTGGAACTGTTCTTAACCTGAAGCATCACTTTAGCTAATGGAGCATTCTGCTGCTGCTGTTCTCATCCTGAAGCAAAGTTGTTAAACCGAGGTAATATTTCTGGGTTAGCAGATTCTGTAACCTGAAGCGTATGTAACCTGAAGCATATGTAACCCGAGGTACCACTGTGTGTGTGTGTATATATATATATATACATGTGTGTGTGTGTGTGTGTGTGTTTGTCTAATGTTGCCACCTTCTAAAATTTATTTATTAATGCATGCTTTTCTTTTTGTAAATGTACCAAAGCATGAAATAAAATAAAATTGGGATTATGAGGTTTTCTCTGGTCAGTGGAGGCTGTACGTGCTGTGTCCTGTTCGTGAAGTGGTTGTGGAACTTGCCATTCTTCTGACAGAAGATGCTGTATGTGGGCATGAGGGGACAAAAATGGTGGGAGTGTCAGTTGTGGGGAGTGAGAAATGTCCCTATTTTCATCTGAGGAATGCTGGAGGGTATGCAGTGGCTATTGAACATCAATATGAAGGTGTTGGGAACAGTCATTTGGAGTTCTGGAGTGAAGTGTCTTCCATATGTTGAAGATACCCAACTCTAGAAACTCCATAACACAAACTCTGGATTGGTGCCTGGATGCCATGGTGCATAACAGCCTATAAACTGAGCTTGACCCATGAAAAACTGGAGGCTTATGACTAAGTGATTTCTGGGTCTTGGAGATAGCTCAATTGCTTGGCAGCCTGGACACAGGGGTTTATGCACTGGTAACCTAAAGACTTGACATTGGCAGTATGCAGTGGGGCTGTCTTTGTATCAGGTCCAGAAGCTGCAGCTATTGCAGAACACAACAGCCAGAGTGCTCATAGCAGCAGGCTACTGGCCACATGTCACTCTGTTGCTGAGAAATTGGCACTGGTTGCCAATTTGCTGCCAGGTAACATTCAAGGTGCTTATGTCTATTTCCACAGATTCCTGAGCAATATGAGCCCAAAGGGCCTTGAGGAGTGTGCAATCCCTTATGCTACACCTCAAGCAGTGAGTTTCTTTGGTGGGGCAATTCTTGTAGCTCCCTACACATCTGAGGTTTAGTCAGCCTTCAATTCACAGGAAGCCATTAGTGCAACAGGACGGAGAAAAGCTGTTATTCCTTTCTTATAACACTAGAATTTGTGGGCAGCCAATGGCAGTGAATGCCAGAAGATTTGAGAAAGATGGAAGAAAGTACAGTGGTTACGAATGGGATCTTTTCCGGAGGCCTGGCCATACAGTGGTGCCTCGCAAGACGAAATTAATCCATTCCGCGAGTCTCTTCGTCTTGCGGTTTCTTCGTCTTGCGAAGCACGGCTATTCGTGGCTTAGCGGCTTAGCGGCTATTAGCGGCTTAGCGGCTATTAACGGCTTAGCGGCTATTAGCGGCTTAGCGCCTTTAAGAAAAAGGAAACAAACTCGCAAGAACTCGCAAGACGTTTCGTCTTGCGGAACGACTCAAAAAACGCAAAACCCTTTCGTCTTGTGAGGCATTCATCTTGTGGGGCACCACTGTATCCCAAAATCTTCATAACCTGAGGCCCCCTTTCTGCACATGCGTGCGGCGCTGTGGAGCACTTCTGCTGAAGAAACATGGTTTCACAATTTCTTTCTAAAATCACCAAGCTGTTCATTTGTCTGAGTAAGGGAAGCCAAAGGAGAGAGAAAAACGGGAAACTATGGAGGCCTTGAGTAATCTATACCAGGAGTGGGGAATCACTGACCTGGGGGCCGAATGCAGCCACTGCATGCCCCTCCACAGGGCCTAGGAGATGGGGGGCGGAGGTAGTACATCCCTGTTTGGGATCACAAAGGGGACATCAGAAAATGTTTGCATATATTGTGTGAAGACTAGCATTTATATTTTGACTACATAAAATGCCATGGGGCCTCTTCCTCCCTCTCCTTCCTCTTCTGTCAACATGCAGCTGCTTTCTTGACCCCATGGAAATAGAGAGTTGGCGCTGAAGTCCTGGTGAAAGGTAGTGTGACTAGGCATGGTGAGAGGTGAATGAGAAGGCGGACTTTCCTTGCCTCTCCTGTGGACTATGTGCTCTGCTCTGTGAGGGGACTGCCACCCGCCTCTGAAGTGTGGGATATTTACCATGCAGCGAAATCAACACTGCATGCTTGCTAGATAGGCAAATGACAGGAGCTGAAGCCCTCTGAGTATTTTCCTGTATGGTTCCTAGAAGGAACTCTGAAAGACACTCCCACTGTGCCCCATTTGTTGAGGGTGTGGGCTTGCAGGGCAGCAGTTGAAGAAGGAGCAAAAAGGGTTTTCTTGTGTGTGTGTGTGTGTGTGTTTCTTTGCGGCTGATTAGCTGTTCTCCCTGTGCAAAGGTCAGAGGGGGCAGGGTTTCTGTTGAGGCAGGTGATTAGCTGTGGGAGGAGGTTATCAGAGCTTGCAGGGCAGCAGTTGAAGAAGGAGCAAAAAGGGTTTTCTTGTGTGTGTGTGTGTTTCTTTGTGGCTGATTAGCTGTTCTCCCTGTGCAAAGGTCAGAGGGGGCAGGGTTTCTGTTGAGGCAGGTGATTAGCTGTGGGAGGAGCTTATCAGAGCTTGCAGGGCAGGAGTTGAAGAAGGAGCAAAAAGGGTGTTCGTGTGGGTGTGTGTGTGTTTCGTTGTGGCTGATTAGCTGTTCTCCTGTGCAAAGGTCAGAGGGGGCAGGGTTTCTGTTGAGGCAGGTGATTAGCTGTGGGAGGAGCTTATCAGAGCTTGCAGGGCAGCAGTTGAAGAAGGAGCAAAAAGGGTTTTCGTGTGTGTGTGTGTGTGTGTGTGTTTCTTTGTGGCTGATTAGCTGTTCTCCCTGTGCAAAGGTCAGAGGGGGCAGGGTTTCTGTTGAGGCAGGTGATTAGCTGTGGGATGAGCTTATCAGAGCTTGCAGGGCAGCGGTGCGCGCCTAGCGGCGTGCGCAGTTTGATCCAACTTTTTTAGGGGAGCTAGTCTCAAACGTTTGTTGGGGGAGACCTAGGTTTTTTGTGGGGGGAGTTATTTTTCCTGTCTTCACGCTTTTTATGATGGAGGACCGCTGTAGCCACCCCCAACAACACGTTCTCAAGATGGAGGGGGAGGGAACAGCTGCAGTCGCCTGCGGTTCCTGCGCAATGTTTGCCATCTTGCCAAAGGTTGCAGGCAGCTTTAGCTGCAGCAATTGCATGTTGATTGCCCTCTTAAAAGACAAAGTCCAGCAACTGGAGGAACGTGTAGCTACGCTCCAAAGAATTAGAGAGCTGGAGCTCTTCTTGGAAGCAACAGAGCACACCGTCTCCACCAAGGAGGAGACAGGGGACTCCCCTGAGAAGGAGGCTAGTTCACCAACACAGGAGCCATATATATGGAGAAACGTGACTCAAAGAAGTAGGAGGCCCAGGGTTCACTCTGATTGTTTAGAAATACACAATCGCTTTGAGGTTCTCTCCCCTAGCATGGAAGATGATGAGCAGACTCCATTTGAGGATCTCTCCCTCATTACAGTCGATCAGGTATATGAAGACGAGCAGCAAAGTCAGTCCTCAGGGAATGTGCAGGCGACCTTGGAACGGGCAGCTCACGGAAGAACCCCGACCAAACCTAAGAGGAGGCGTGTAGTGGTGATAGGGGATTCCCTACTGAGGGGAACAGAAGCAGTGATCTGTGGGCCTGACAAGATGTCTCGGGAAGTGTGCTGTCTCCCCGGGGCTAAGATCCAAGATGTAACTGAACGACTGCAAGGAATCATAAAACCCACTGACAAATACCCCTCCTCTTGGTTCATGTGGGAACCAATGACACTGCAAGCAATAGCCTCCAGAAGATCAAAAGAGACTACGAGGCTCTGGGCAGGAAATTGAAGCAATTAAATGCACAAATTGTGATCTCATCTGTCCTCCCAGTTGAACGACGTGGCCCAGGGAGAGAGGGGAAAATAGTGGAAGTGAACAGCTGGCTTCGCAAATGGTGTAAACAGGAACGGTTTGGATTCTTAGATCACAGACTGCAGTTTCTTGAAGATGGACTTCTGGCAAGCAATGGGCTGCACCTCACAACGGTTGGGAGAAATGTTTTTGCTAAAAATCTCAGAAACCTCATCCAGAGGGCTTTAAACTGACTAATGTGGGGGAGGGAGACAGTGCTCCTGAAGGTAGGAGTCTATCAACTGATGAAGATGATCATCCAAATGTCATAGACCAAATGGAACAAACAGCACACAGACCTAGTGGCGGTAGGAAAACATCCTTAAATAAGAGACACGGAGGAATGATTAATGGACTTCAATGTCTGTACACTAATGCACAAAGCATGGGAAATAAACAAGATGAGCTTGAGCTCTTAGTACAGCAAACTAAATATGACATAATAGGCATCACTGAAACCTGGTGGGATAAGTCCCACGATTGGAATGTAATAATGGAGGGATACAATCTATTTCAGAGAAACAGACCAGACAAGAAAGGAGGAGGAGTGGCGTTATATGTCAGGGATGTGTATACCTGTGAAGAGATCCAAGATTTAGAACCTCAAAGCCAAAGTGAGAGCATTTGGGTCAAAATTAAGGGAGAGAAGAATAACAGTGACCTCATTGTGGGAGTTTACTATAGATCCCCAAGCCAAATGGAGGACATAGATGATGTCTTCCTGGAACAGATGGCCAAGCATGCAAAAGGAAGGAAGATAGTAGTAATGGGGGACTTCAATTACCCGGATATTTGTTGGATGTCAAACTCAGCCAAGAGCATAAGGTCAAACAGATTCCTCACTGGCCTTGCAGACAACTTCATTGTCCAGAAAGTGGGAGAAGCAACAAGAGGAACAGCCATTTTAGATCTGGTCCTAACCAATGTTGATGACCTGGTTAGTGGGGTAGAAGTGGAAGGATCATTAGGCGCGAGTGATCATGCTCTTCTGAAGTTTACTATACAGCGGAAAGGAGCAGCCAAGCATACTAGGACTCAATTTCTTGACTTTAAGAAAGCTGACTTCATAAAACTTAGGGAAGTGCTGGGTGAGATCCCATGGACAGTAATACTAAAAGGAAAGGGAGTTCATGATGGCTGGGAGTTTGTTAAGAGGGAGATAGTAAAAGCACAACGTCAGGCAATACCAATGAGACGGAAACATGGAAGGTGCCTAAAGAAGCCAGGGTGGCTATCTAAAGAACTTTTAACTGAGTTAAGATTAAAAAGGATGTGTACAAAAATGGAAAAGGGGAAACCACCAAAGAGGAATTCAAACAAATAGCCAGCTCGTGTAGACACAACGTCAGAAAAGCTAAAGCACAGAATGAACTCAGGCTTGCTAGAGAGGTTAAAAGCAACAAAAAAGGCTTTTATGGGTATGTTCGTAGCAAAAGGAAGAACAAAGAAACAGTGGGGTCACTCAGAGGAGAAGATGGTGAAATGCAAACAGGGGACACAGAAAGGGCTGAACTCCTCAATGCCTTCTTTGCCTCAGTCTTCTCCGATAAAGAAAACAATGCCCGACCTGAAGAATTTGGAGCAAATGATTCAGCAAAGGAAACACAGCCCAGAATAACTAAGGAGATAGTACAAGAATACTTGGCTAGTTTAGATGTATTCAAGTCTCCAGGGCCAGATGAACTGCATCCAAGAGTATTAAAAGAACTGGCAGATGTGATCTCAGAACCACTGGCAGTCATCTTTGAGAATTCCTGGAGAACAGGTGAAGTCCCGGCAGACTGGAGGAGGGCAAATGTTGTCCCTATTTTCAAAAAGGGGAAAAGATAGGACCCAAATAATTACCGCCCAGTCAGTCTGACATCAATACCAGGGAAGATTCTGGAGCAGATCATTAAGCAAACAGTCTGTGAGCACCTAGAAAGGAATGCTGTGATCACCAATAGTCAGCATGGATTTCTGAAAAATAAGTCATGTCAGACTAACCTGATCTCGTTTTTTGACAGAATTACAAGCCTGGTAGATGAAGGGAACGCAGTGGATGTAGCCTACCTTGATTTCAGCAAGGCATTTGACAAGGTGCCTCACGATATCCTTGTAAAGAAGCTGGTAAAATGTGGTCTTGACTATGCTACCACTCAGTGGATTTGTAACTGGCTGACTGACCGAACCCAAAGGGTGCTCATCAATGGTTCCTCTTCATCCTGGAGAAGAGTGACTAGTGGGGTGCCACAGGGTTCTGTCTTGGGCCCGGTCTTATTCAACATCTTTATCAACGACTTGGATGATGGACTCAAGGGCATCCTGATCAAATTTGCAGATGACACCAAACTGGGAGGGGTGGCTAACACCCCAGAGGACAGGATCACACTTCAAAACGACCTTGACAGATTAGAGAACTGGGCCAAAAGAAACAAGATGAACTTTAACAGGGAGAAATGTAAAGTATTGCACTTGGGCAAAAAAAATGAGAGGCACAAATACAAGATGGGTGACACCTGGCTTGAGAGCAGTACATGTGAAAAGGATCTAGGAGTCTTGGTTGACCACAAACTTGACATGAGCCAACAGTGTGACGCGGCAGCTAAAAAAGCCAATGCAATTCTGGGCTGCATCAATAGGAGTATAGCATCTAGATCAAGGGAAGTAATAGTGCCACTGTATTCTGCTCTGGTCAGACCTCACCTGGAGTACTGTGTCCAGTTCTGGGCACCACAGTTCAAGAAGGACACTGACAAACTGGAACGTGTCCAGAGGAGGGCAACCAAAATGGTCAAAGGCCTGGAAACGATGCCTTATGAGGAACGGCTAAGAGAGCTGGGCATGTTTAGCCTGGAGAAGAGGAGGTTAAGGGGTGATATGATAGCCATGTTCAAATATATAAAAGGATGTCACATAGAGGAGGGAGAAAGGTTGTTTTCTGCTGCTCCAGAGAAGCGGACACGGAGCAATGGATCCAAACTACAAGAAAGAAGATTCCACCTAAACATTAGGAAGAACTTCCTGACAGTAAGAGCTGTTCGACAGTGGAATTTGCTGCCAAGGAGTGTGGTGGAGTCTCCTTCTTTGGAGGTCTTTAAGCAGAGGCTTGACAACCATATGTCAGGAGTGCTCTGATGGTGTTTCCTGCTTGGCAGGGGGTTGGACTCGATGGCCCTGGTGGTCTCTTCCAACTCTATGATTCTATGATTCTATGATTCTACTTCCTCTTCCTTTTTGCTCTCTCATCATCATTCTTCCAGCAATGTAGAACCATCTGTTTGTCTGGGCTCCAAAGCTCAGACTCCACCATCAGCTTGACCAAAGTATGTCTTTGTAACTGGATCACCATTTTAAGCCCCTCTGGACAAAGCTGCTGTATCTGTTACTCTTCAACAAGTATTCTGAATGAGGATATGTTATCTTTACCTTTTGCAAGCAAGAATCTGTGTGATTATTGTTTTAAGGTGGGGGGAGGAAAGACTTTTTAAGCAGCCAGGGGATACACTCTGCTGAACTTACAAACATGAGGAAGGGAGGATAATATCTAATAAATACAACTTTTTCGAGCATCAATACACATCTCTACTTGAAGGGCAGCAGGTGATGGCATGACGTGATGTCATACCATCATGTTGTGCTTGTGTGGGGGGGGCACCCACATACTGGGGCCCAGGTTGGTGCCTCTGGTCACAGGTGTCTCCTCCTCCTCCTGCAACAGGCTACTTCCCCCCCCCCAAAAAAAAACCCCAGGAGGGGCATGAAAAGGGCGGAGGAGAGAGTAGCTGTACACAGTCTCAGTCAAGGAAAAAGCCCTGGAGAGGAGACTTAGGCAGATGTGAGGTGTTTGGGGATCTTTCATCTTGGTAACTGATTTCATGGAGTAAAACCCACGGGAAATGAGCTGTTGTATTCATTAGGCCTGACACTCTGTGAAAATTGTGTTTTTACTAAGAAAGAGTTAACTCAAACTTTTGTGGAACCAGGAGAAACCCGAGTCCCCCTAAAAAATGGAGGCAAAGCTTGCTGGCTCTCTTTAACTGTGAGGCCGAATTGTCTGCCTCAACATTCAGTCTGAGCTGTTACATGACTGAAATGTGTCCCAGTATAGGACTGTCATTGATTAATCTCCCCCAGGAATTTCAAAACGACACTTTAAAACGTATCTGAATTTGTACAAGAAGGACAGGCCACAACAAACTTCAAAGTAAATACCTTAGATTATTTACATGGTTTTGCAGAAGAAAATATGCTGTACTCATTGATTGATTGAGCTTTGGTGGGGGTTGCGCAGCACATCTGCTGTGGCGCTCCCCATTTTACCTCTAGTGGCGAAATGGGATAGACCACTCTTGACAGCAAGGCAGCCCAAAGTCTGCCATTCTTCTCTGGTAGGGACTTGATCTTCCTTCCATTTCTTTTTTCTCCCCATTTTACCTTAAGTGGAGAAATGGGATGCACCACCCAAAGTCGGCTAATATTAATTGATTAAAATTGGACCTGAAAGTCTGGCCAGGGATTTCACCCCTGCCCGCTGCCAAAGCTATCTCCCACCTCCAAGTACTATTATTTCGCCCGTGAAATGTTGCTTTTGGTAAAATGATACAACATACATGATTTGCCATATATATTTATTTTGGGCATGATTCAATGACCTCATTTGTGCATGAAAGTCAAATACAGCCTGTCTTTGAGGAGGAGCTTCTAGACTTCTAGAAAGAAAGCCTGGGAGTCCTCAGGCTGAGACCTCCCCTTCTTCAACCACTAGGCCGTCATAAATGGTGGTGTCTTCTGTGGCATCCTCGCCCATTGCTCCAGTGCACTCTGCTTGAATGATGTCAAATCCCAGTGATCCAATATCAGTGTCTAGCAACCCATCAATGTAGTTACACGCACTAGCTGTTGCACAGCCTCGGACAGCGCCCAGGATGCTGCTTTCCCCTGTTGGGAAAAACACACACATATATTTTTGGAATCCAAAACCCACTTCCTGAAACAGAAGGGTAGGCAACCTTTCTCAGACCAAGAGCCTTTTTCCAGTCTGGGTGACCTTCTGGGAGGTCCACATGCCATTGGAAACATATGTAAAATTCACCTTTACACGGCAGGCTATTTTCTAGATATATTCAAACCCCCCTCTCTGTTCTCCCTCCAGGTAACCAAGATTCAAGGGCAACAATCCAGCCAGGCCAAAGCATACAGGTAGGGTATGAAGTGGGGCTTGTGAGGGGTGTGGCCTAGGGGGAGGAGGTGTGGCTAAGGTGGATCCAAAGGGCCAGAGAGAGAGAGTCCTAGAGGAATGCGTTTGGCCCCTGGGCCTGTGGGTCTCCATCCTACCCCTCCCCCCAATTTAAAGTGCAAATTTTAAGATGTAGTTTTATTTAACAAAATCTATGCTTACAGATGGGGCCGTAGCTGCACTCCATCATACAAGACTCACCGAAATCCATGTTAGCCGCAAGGTAGAAGCAATAATCCTCATCATTTCTGCAGCTGACCGTCTTATTGCTCTCACACTCATCTGAAAAGATGTTGATGCAACTCGGGCACTTCAGCCCATTGGGCTCCCTTGTCTCGGTCTCAGGCACTGGAAAACAATCACCACACCACACCAACATTGCAATTAGTCAATGTATTTCTTTTGCAGATGCAAACCACAACTTGCTGTACGTGAGGGGTGGGAATTGTGCTTCCCCTTCCAAGATGGATCCGTACCACCTTCCAACACTTCTCCAAGCAGAGTGCTTCAGCCATGCTCCATTCATCCAGGGCTACATTAAGGCATGGTGCAAGAGATTTCTGACTGGGGCCACATTCACAGCAAACATTTCAAGCAAAGGGATACCACTTTAAGCAATTGGGCTTAGCACTGAGCACCACTGGGGGGCATTCTGAGAGATAAAATGGTAGCCACGAATGGACACAAATGATGATAAAATTCTACAAAATGGCCCTCTTCCTTAGAGTGGTAAAGAGAAAGAAAGCTCTTAGTAGTTTTATCCTTAAAAATCACTTTTGGGAAAACAGGTGCTTAGTTTGGGTAAAATCATGATATCACCTAAGAGAAAATGCCAGCTAATAAGAGCTATTGTGTGGGGTTTGTTTGCTAATCCATAGCTCTGTGAGGGGAATATGGGTTTTCCAATTAACCCTCAGCACCCTTAAGAAACTACCACTCCCAGAATTCTTTGTCCTAGTGTTGTTATAGTGTTTACAATAAAAGCTTACATTAGAGTATTGGGAATGCTAAGGTGAACCACAAAATGGTGCCTCCTCCCACCAAGGAAGGAGGGGTGAGTGAAGATCTACATCAGGAACAAGGGGATGTGAACATCTACATCAGGAACAAGGGTGGGAGGAGACCAGAGGTCAAATCTGTACTTGAGCCACGATACTTGCTGTGTGACCTGGGGCCAGACACTGCCCCCGAGCCTGACTTATTTTCCACGGGTGTTTGAGGCTAAAATGGAGAGCATGAGGGCTCTTTGGAGGAAGGAATAGGGTTGTAAATATCAGAAGCTGCTGCAGGAGAGGGACTGTGAGTAACATCATGTGAGGAATGTTTCTAGGACTAAGGTAGAACTGTGAAGCTTCCTTGTAATATTTGCTCATGAATGCTGCATGCTGTTCAAGTAATCTTGTTATTGATACATGGTTTTTGGTTTTGTTCTATCTGCAGTCTTTCTTTTACAATGCTATGTTGTTTAATAATACAAATATCCTCTTAGAAAGCACTGTTCTGTTGGCGAAGACAGGAGCCCATGTTGCGGATGTTTGTAGAAGGCCTGGCCAATCCAGAGGTATCATACTGCCTTCTCACTCGCTGGATCATCACCTTGTTGTGATGAGTGGGTTTGCACGCTATCAAAAATGATCTTGTGAAGCTCCTGTCAGAAGTCTCTAACGGTAATAATGAATGACTTTCAACCCCCCAAATAAAGCTCAAATAAATCATCTTTCCTAGTGTCACCCTCAGGCACCTCCTGGAGTGACTGGCTGCCACCATTCCTCCTTGTCTAGCCAGTCCCTGACATCAGGACACTGCCAAAAACTTGTTTGTCTTTCTTTGACATCTCTCATTAATTGAGTTTTACGGGACCTGATGATGATACTTACTTTCAGGAAGTCCGCTGTTGCACATATCTGTATTGCAGCAGGTTGCCTTGCTCTGGAGGTACAGTGCTGAGCTTATGGAGACACTGGCAAAGGTTTCCTCACACAACTCTCTATCGATGCAGGACTTGAGAACCACTCTTGGCCCCAAAAGTGCTATAAAAGAAAGAATTGGAATAGGAAACAACTAGACCTGGAGATAGGGTTGGTCCACCCATGAGGCAAGGATTGATGATCACCTTATGTGGCAGGATCCAGAGGGGCAGGGGATCTGACCACCAAGAAAAGCATCGCCTGATGCTGCTGCCTTTGAAGCTGTGGTGTGATCCTTGGAGGCAAGATCTGCCACCTCCTCGTCAGTTCCTCTCCCCCATTTGAGCCACCCATGTCCCTGTTGTTCGTGACAGGGACCTTGGAGCTCCTTCTTTTTTCTTTTTTAATATAATGTTTATTAAGATTTCTTTTATCCTTTATAACAACCAAATAAAATTTCTACATCACATATATGTTTGCTCAAGTTGAGCATTCACTTCCTCCCATCCCCCTCCCTGACTTCCATATGCAATCACTTTTATTTCGCATTTCTAAATCACCCTATTTACTTTATCTCCATACTTAAAAGATTTACTTCTAATATTTATAAACAGGTATCAAATCATAACCTAACAAAATATTTTAAATCAATCCTGCAAATGTTTTAAAATGTTTGCAATGCCTATTCATATATGGTACAAATTTACTCCAGTCCTTTTCAAACAGTTCGTCTCGCTAGTTTCAGATTTCCCCCATCGCAAGTTTAAAAGGTAAAGGGACCCCTGACCATTAGGTCCTGTCGTGACCAACTCTGGGATTGAAACGCTCATCTCGCTTTATTGGCCAAGGGAGGCGGCGTACAGCTTCCGGGTCATGTGCCAGCCAGACTAAGCCACTTCTGGCGAACTAGAGTAGCGCACGGAAACGCAGTTTACCTTAATGCCAGAGCGGTACCTATTTATCTACTTGCACTTTGACGTGCTTTCGAACTGCCAGGTTGGCAGGAGAAGGGACCGAGCAACGGGAGCTCACCCCGTCGCGGGGATTCGAACCACTGACATTCTGATTGGCAAGTCCTGGGCTCTGTGGTTTAACCCACAGCGCCACCCGCATCAAATACCACCTCGGAGCTCCTTTCTGAGGCTCCCTCCACCTCGCTGGTGCCCATGCAGGCACACTGCCTCTTTCCTTGTGGGGTGGTCATTCACAAAGCGCAGGCTGCAAAGCCACCCTACCTGTGCCTTGCAGGGCTGCCTGCACTGCCTGGCTGCCTTCGACTGGCAGAGTGGGCTCCGTCTTTCCTCCTGTGCTGAAAAAGGCAGCCAGGTGGCAGCCAAGGCTGTCTCCGCCCGGAGCCTGCACTCCACCCAGGCTCTTGCAGCTGGGGAGGGGGAGCACTTTAACTGAGCCCCCGCCCTACTACTAGCTCATTTGGGGTTTCCGCAAAATTGCTTGGCTGTGGCGAGGGCAGCAGTGTGCTCTTAACTCAAGCAGTTTAAGGAGGGAGGGAGGAATAACCTTTATAAGCCTCGTCATGCAGCTTGTTTCTCCCACTGCCGGTATGAAGGACAGACCATGATGGTGATTTCACTCAGCGATATATCTTTCATGAAACTGCCACCCCTCCTGAGTCCCTCTGCCTCCAGCTCCAGGCTGCAGCTTGTTTTGTTTTTCCTCAGCGTGCTGGAGGCAGAGGGACTCAGGATCGGCATGGTTTCCCCCACCGATTTACTGCTGAGTGAAGCTGCCATCACGGTCTGCCCCTCATACCGGTCCTGGGGCGATATATCAATAAATCGCCCAGGCCTAATCTTCAGTCACCCTTTCTTCCGGGTCTGCAGGGTGGGGAACATTTTATGGTTTGCCTCAGGTATCCAATTGTCTTGAGCAGGGCCTGCTTGGAGCAGAAAGAGATTTCTCCAGTTTTATTTATTTATTTGTTGAGTGTGAGTCAGGAATGGAGAACCTTTGGCTGTCCAGAGGTTTCTACCACCCTTATCGAATGGGACCAGTTCAGGAGGTTTCATGGGAAGGAATTCATCAATGAAATAAGTTTTGTGGCCGCCAAGGTGGATGACAGAGTGGATTAAAACCAATTATTATTTTTTAAAAAATCAAAATAATCAGATTTTAAAATTTAAATCAGAATTTTTAAAATTTAAATTGGACTTTTAAAATTTAAATTGTATTTTTTTTTAAAAAAAATGCTTTTGGTGGAAAAATCTTTCTAAAGATAGTTTTCTATTTAAGTTACATTATTGTCCAAAGGCTATCCTCATCAGGAAATAAGCATTTGTTTTAAGTTTTTCATGTGTGCTATAACTCCCTCCAATGTATTTCTTAAAAAAAAACATTTAACCACATCAGTTAACAAACATGGATACATATGCTATAATGTTATTGTTTTAGTTAAATAAATTGTTTAAATTGTTATTAATTAAATGATTACTTTTTCCTTCCAATAAAGTACAGCAGAAAAATTGTCCAAATATAAACAGTTAATTTATTAAACCTCACAAAAATTTCATAATTATCTGTCAATGTATTTCTAATAGTATAACCAAATCAGTAATTTTTGATATAACTGTAAAAACTACTCTGAAAATTTATTATTCGAAAAAGGAAACCTTCATCTCGTTGTAAATATTAAGATTATACCAGCAAGAATGAGTCTTTCTGTAAAAATAAATAAATTAAATCAAGTCTTACTGACTTGTAATTTAAATCGTGATTGAAATCAAATCCACCCTGTAACTGGAGCAATGAGAGTCGATGCTGGAGCTCATAAAGGGAGCATGTACCACAGGCAATTAGGAAGGGTCAATATGTCAGCCATGTTCAGGGAAGTTTTTAACGTGTGATATTTTAGTGTATTTTTGCTTTCTATGGAAGCCGCCCAGAATGGCTGGGGAAACCCAGCCAGATGGGCGGTGTACAAATAATAAATTATTATTATTATTATTATTATTATTATTATTATTATTATGTCAGTGTCAGTTTCTCTTGGTTTCTTATTTTAAGTTCATTTCTCCACATTTTCATATCAGTTGCCAACTCCCCCCACCCCCCATCAACATTTAGTGTGAATGTAATTTTTACTCTTAGGCCCTATCTGCAGGGTCATACTGATTTAAGTAGTCATGATTTCCCCCTGGGGGGGGGCAGGATGTTTGTTGACTATAATGGCTGTGAATCCTGGCAAACTAGCTCTCTCCCTTGCAGGTCATTTTTCACTTGGCCTGGGAGATGGGAACCTGACAGACTGACTCCAACTACAAAAGCTGTTGTACGTTATTGTATGCACACTTTACCCTAGTGTGTGCATTTGTCTATTGATTACATGGCTGGACAACTGAATTGCAAAAATGGGAGAAGGGCAGATTCTGAAGGATGGCTTTGTTTTGCTCTGCCAATTGAGTAAATGTACCTTTAAATATGAAGTGACTTGAATTTCTTCCCTGCTCCTACAGGCAATGCAGAACCTAGAACACTACTTTATCAAAAGTCATGTTCCGTGGCTTGTGGCTAAGATATGGCCTTAGAAAGTGAGTCAGGGGGTTTACGTTTTGGTGATCAAAGAGGATGAAAGTTCTTCTCACTTACACAGTTTGCCTACTCCACTGGCAGACAAGCAGGACTGGTCACTGGAATCGTCACACTCCTCAGTGGTGGCATTTCTGCAATCTTTTCCTTGATCGAAACAAGACTCACATATCAGAGATGCCACTGCAGACAGGGGGAAAATGGGTTTAGAAAACTTTAGTAACTGTGTAGGAGGAATAGGTCTGTGTCAAGGTACATGAACAGAACACTTTCTGCTCCAAACGTCATCTTACAAGAGGTAGCAAAGGCCATTGACTTGGATAGCTTCAAAAGCGGACTAGATAAATACATGGTTACCATCCTCAATTGATATATTTTTTCTGCAACATTGGAGGCACTATTTGTCTGAATACTAGTTACTGGAAACCGCAGAAAGGGAGCTGTTGCACTCAGATCTTTCTTACGGGCTTCCCATAGGACCCACGGCAAGAACAAGAGGTTAGACTAGATGGACCATTGTTCAGCTACATAATGCTTTCTATATATATTCCCCCTGTAGTTCTTAAACTCTGTGAATAGGGGTGGGTCTTGCATGTACCAGAGAATGACAGTCCAAGATGGCTCCTGCAGGCTGAGGGAGAGGACCAGTAGAGAAGGTGTGGGGAAACCTTTAACCCTCCTTAAGTTGTTGTACTACAAGTCCCATCAGCACCAGCAAACATGACAGACTCTGGTAAGCACATCTGGTACCCCTGGCATCTGACTCCACTCAGAGATTCGGGTGGTGTGTAACATCAGGAAACATAAGGTTTGCATGGGGGGGCCGGGTAGTTCCCCTCCAAAATATGAGAAGAATTGTGCCTATACATTGTCTCCTATCATAAATTTCTACAAATGCAAGAAACTTACTCTTTGCTTTAAATATGAGCCAGGATTCTGATTTATCGAAGAGTGAACTACTGCCTTTCTTGTTCCCCCAATGTACTTGGGGATGCCACACCTCTCTGTACGCATTTGGTTAAATAAAAATTGAATATTGGCAACAACCCCCCCCCACTTCGTTCCTTCCTGGAAACATGACGAACAGCCCAGTGGCTGTGGTTCTGCTCACCTGGAGGAAGCAGGGCCAAGAGGAGGCAGGAGATCAGGAGTGTCTTCATCATTCTAGAGAGCTGAAGAGGCAGGAAGGAGTTCGAGAACAGCACTGGGCCAAGCAAGGAACTGATGCATGAAGAGGCTTAGTTGGATGAATTTATAGCAGATTGCAAGGAGCACTTTGCCAGCACCCAGGAACAATGGATTCAGGACAGTGTCATAAATTGCTAGAATTCTAATTATGCTATACCATAATGTAAAGCACAGTGTTGAAAACCAATTAAATCTCTTCCCCCTTCCAATAATTCCAAGGACACGTCCCTCCTAATCTGTTCCAGCCTCAATTTCTAAACCCTGGATGTGGGGAAACGAGTTCCATCAGGTTACAGCACTGAAATTGGATTAGCTTTCTGGAAGCCAAGGCAGTATCCCTGACAGTATGAACTTTTTTGAAACGGGGACAAATGTCTGTCCACAGTTTCCTTTGTGGTACAGTAATAAAATGCACAGTGACCCGGATCCCCTCCCTCCCATTAAATGCACTTGTTTGGGGTAAGGAATTGGTCCACTTGCTCTTTAAAATAAGTTGGTTAGAGTTAAGAGAGTCCCATGGACTGCAAGAAGATCAAACCTCTCCATTCTGAAGAAATCAGCCCTGAGTGCTCACTGGAAGGACAGATCCTGAAGCTGAGGCTCCGATACTTTGGCCACCTCATGAGAAGAGAAGACTCCCTGGAAGAGACCCTGATGCTGGGAAAGATTGAGGGCAGGAGAAGGGTACGACAGAAGACGAGATTGTTGGACGGTGTTCTTGAAGCTATTAACATGAATTTGACCAAACTGTGGGAGGCAGTGTATGACAGGAATGCCTGGTGTGCTCTGGTCGTTGGATATACGCAAGCATAGCTCCATGTCCTTTGCTTTGATTTCTCTTGTGATGCTGATGAAACTCAAAGACATCGAGAATGATGTGGATTTGGCATTTGGACAATGAGAAATGGAGAGTGGCAGCACCACAGATGTCCTGGGAGAGTTTTCTTGCAGCAATGTTAGTACAGTGGTACCTCGGGTTACAGATGCTTCAGGTTACAGACTCTGCTAACTCAGAAATAGTACCTCGGGTTAAGAACTTTGCTTCAGGATGAGAACAGAAATCAGGCGGTGGCAGCCCGGTGGCAGCGGGAGGCCCCATTAGCTAAAGTGGTCCCTCAGGTTAAGAACAGTTTCAGGTTAAGAACGGACCTCCGGAACGAATTAAGTTCTTAACCAGAGGTACCACTGTATACTATATCCAATTGCTGACACAGCTTAATTAACACAACTTAACAGCATCTGCTATACTGTTTCACAGCTATAAAACTAGGTCATGATATTTACTCTGACCTTTAAAGAGACACACATCTTGTAAAACAATAATGAACCTTAATATTTAAATAAACCATTCAACACAAAGAGGTTAGCTCAAATGTATAAGAATGTACCTAATAAGTGTTGGAAATGTAAATATTGCAAGGGGTCATTCTGTCACATGGGGTGGACCTGCAAGGAGGGTAAGGTCTTTTTGGACATGTTATATAATGATTTTTTAAAAATCAAAAATCAGACTGACTTTTCCAGGAGTCCAGAAACCTTCTGGCTGGGGATATTGATGAGCAAAATTCCAAATCAAGGGATCTTTATGCTCACAGCTGGAAAGTTGTGAGAATACCCTGAAGTAAGTGCTTAACCTGAGGTACCACTGTATTATGTATATATTTGTGTAATATATAATGCTGCTATATAATTTACTGTCAGCTTAGATTCTTCACACTGTTTCTTCTAAGAAGAATGGGACTCTGAGATGTTGGTAATCACAATGGAGGGGGTGGGGAGAGTGACATTGGGCTCATGTCCTCTTCCTTCACCATCTTCTTCTTCATATTATAAGAGGGAATTATTATAAGATGATGTACCGATTTTATTTAACTCTGAAAAGCTTAGATCAAATATATAAGAATGTACCAAAAAATGTTGGAAATGTAAGAATTGCACGGGGCCATTCTGGCACATGTTGTAGACCTGTAGGAAGGCTAAGGTCTTTTGGGGCATGATATATAATGGGGGGTGGGATTCAAACTGACTTTTCCAAGAGTCCAGAACCCTTCTGGCAGGTGATATTGGTCAGCAAAATTCCAAACTCTGTTTATGTATGCAACTACAGTGGCAAGGGATCTTTATGCTCAGAGGTGGAAAGTTGTGAGAATACCCTGAAAGGAAGAATGGATGGTGAAAGCCTTAGAATATGCAGAGATGGCAAAGGTTACAGCAGGAGAGGCTGATAAAACTGAGGCCCTTCCCCACATAATGCATTGCATCTGAGGGTCAAGCAGAGGGCAAGGCCTCCCTGGGCGGCATGGAGGGGGGAGTGCAAAGAGTCTAGATTTCACTTCTACCCCAAAAATCTTTTATGTTTGTGTCTAAAGTTGCCACTTTCTAAAATTTATTTATTGGTGCATGCTGTTCTTTCGTAAATGTACCAAACATGAAATAAAATAAAACTGGGATTATGGGGTATTCTCAGGTCAGTGGAGGATGTACGTGCTGTGTCCTGTTCGTGATGTGGTTGTGGAACTTGCCATTCTTCTGATAGAAAATGCTTTGTGGGGGCATGGGGTGGGGGACAAAAATGGGGGGAGTATCAGTTGTGGGCAGTGAGAAATGTCCATGTTTTCATCTGAGGAATGTTGGAGGGTATGCAGTGGCTATATGAAGCTGTTGGGAAGAGTCAATTGGAGTTTTGGAGTGAAACTCTGGATTGGTGCTTGGATGCCATGGTGCATGACAGCCAACAAACTGAGCTTGAACCATGAAAAACTGGAGGCCTTGGGTCTTGGAGATAGGTCAATTGCTTGGCAGCCTGGACACAGTGGTTCATGCACTGGTAACTTCAAGACTTGATTATGCCAGCATGCAGTCTTTGTATCAGGTCCAGAAGCTGCAGCTATTGCGGAACACAACAGCCAGTGTGCTCATGGCAGCAGGCTACTGGCTACGTGTCACTCTATGGCTGAGACAGTGTCACTGGTTGCCAGTTTGCTGCCACGTCACATTCAAGGTGCTTATGTTTATTTCCACTGATTCCTGAGCAAAGTGAGCCAAAAGTGCCTTGAGGAATGCACAAACCTTTATGCTACACCTCAAGCAGTGAGATCCTTTGGCTGGGGCAATTCTTGTAGCTCCCTACACACCTGAGGTTTAGTCAGTTTTCAATTCACAGAAAGCCTTTAGTGCAACAGGAGAGAGAAAAGCTTTTATTCCTTTCTCACAGTACTAGAATTTGTGGGCAGCCAATAACAGTGAATGTTGGAAGCTTTGAGAAAGATGGAAGAAAGTACAATGGTACCTCTGGTTATGAATGGGATCTGTTCTGGAGTTTTGGCCATATCCCGAAATCTTCGTAACCTGAGGCACCTGTTCTCCGCATGTGTGCAGCGCCATGGAGCAGTTCTGTGCATGCGTGAGGTGCGCAGAGCACTTCTGCGTGTGCTCGAGTGGCAAACCCACTTCCTGGTTTGCTACGTCTTCAACCCAAAAAATACGTTACCCAAAGGTAACGTAACCCGAGGGTCCACTGTACTGTTTGAAATAGCATATGGTTAAACTCTGGAATTTGCTCTCAGGAAGTAAAGTTGGGCAGTAACGTGGATGTGTTTGATTGAGGATTAGAAGAAAATAATGGAGGATAAGGCTAACAATGCCTACTAACCAATTTGGCCATGTTCTTCCTCAAGTGTTGGAGACAGTATTCCTGTGGATGTCAGTTGGTGGGAATCACAAGTGGGGGACGGGATGGGGACAACTGGTGTTGCTGTCCAGTCCTGCTTTGAGGCTTTGCACAGGCATCTTGCTGGCCATTGGGACAACAGAGTTCTGGAACAGCTGGACTGGTTCAGCAGGCTGATGCAAGCTGTGCCAGTTGAAGCTTGTGGGAAAGCTAACATTAGCCCAAATTTTGATTGCCTCAAAGTGGTGCTCACCCAATGTACCTGCTGAAGACGAGGGGATTCACAATGTACCTGCTGAAGAAACATGGTTTCACAATTTCTTTCTAAAATCACCAAGCTGTTCATTTGACTGAGTAAGGGAAGCCAAAGAAGAATGAAAATCGGGAAACTATGGAGGCCTTGAGTAATCTATACCAGGAGTGGGGAACTGCTGACCTGGGGGCCAAATGCAGCCACTGCGTGCACCTCCACAGGGCCTATGTGTGTGTGGGGGAGGTGGTACATCGTTCTTCTGTTTGGGATCACAAGGGGGACATCATGAAATGTTTGGCTATATTGTGTGAAGACTAGCATTTATATTTTTGTTAGACTACATAAAATGCCATGAGGCCTCTTCCTCCGTCTGCTTCCTCTTCTGCCAACATGCCCCTGTCTACCTCTCCCCATGAATCCAGAGAGGTGGTGCTGAAGTCCTGGTGAAAGATAGCATGAATGGGCAAGGCAAGAGGTGAATGAGAAGGTGGACTTTTCTTGCCTCTCTTGTGGGCAGTGTGCTCCACCTACTTAGAGGACTGCCATATGCCTGTGAAGTGTGAGATATTTACCATGCAGCCAAACCAACAATGCATGTTTGTAGAGAGGCACATGACAGGAGCTGAAGCCCTCCGAGTTTTCCCCTGTAAGTTTCCAAGAAAGAACTCTGAGAGACACTCCCACTGTGTCCTGTCAGGGGGAGGACATAGGCACTTCCTCTCCATCTTTGCTCTCTCATCATCATCCTTCCAGCAATGTAGAACCATCTGTTTGTCTGAGCTCCAAAGCTCAGACTCCATCATCATCTTGACCAAAGTATATCTTTGTAACTGGATCACCATTTTAAGCCCCCCCCCCCCCGGACAAAGCTGCTATATCTGTTACTCTTCAACAAGTATTCCGAGTTAGTAAATGTTACTTTTCCCTTTTACAAGCAATTATCTGTGTGATTTTTTTTTTTTAAGGGGTAGAAAAAGGGGAAATACCAGGAGAATCCATTCTTTCTCCAAAAATCCTGGATTATTTAACTAAAAGATGCTTCTAGAAAACCT